AATGTAATGTAATGTAATGTATGTAATGTATGTATGTAGTATGTAATGTATGTAATGTATGTAATGTATGTAATGTATGTATGTATGTATGTATGTATGTATGTATGTATGTATGTATGTATGTATGTATGTATGTATTAATGTAATGTATGTATGTATGTATGTATGTATGTATGTATGTATGTATGTATGTATGTATGTATGTATGTATGTATGTATGTATGTATGTAATGTATGTAATGGATGTAATGTATGTAATGTATGTAATGTATGTAATGTATGTAATGTATGTAATGTATGTAATGTATGTAATGTATGTAATGTATGTAATGTATGTAATGTATGTAATGTATGTATGTATGTATGTGTGTATGTATGTATGTATGTATGTTAAGTATGTAGTGTATGTAGTGTATGTAATGTATGTAATGTATGTAATGTATGTAATGTATGTAATGTATGTAATGTATGTAATGTATGTAATGTATGTAATTTATGTACTGAATGTAATGTGTGTAATGTATGTAATGTATGTAATGTATGTAATTTATGTAATGTTTGTAATGTATGAAATGCATGTAATGTATGTAATGTATGTAATGTATGTAATGTATGTAATGTATGTAATGTATGTAATGTATGTAATGTATGTAATGTAGGTAATGTATGTAATGTATGTAATGTATGTAATGTATGTAATGTATGTAATGTATGTAATGTATGTAATGTATGTAATGTATGGAAGGTATGGAAGGTATGGAAGGTATGGAAGGTATGTAATGTATGTAATGTATGTAATGTATGTAATGTATGTAATGTATGTAATGTATGTAATGTATGTAATGTATGTAATGTATGTAATGTATGTATGTATGTATGTATGTATGTATGTGTGTATGTGTGTATGTGTGTATGTAATGTATGTAATGAAACGTAATGCAATGTAAAGTAAAGTAATGTAAAGTAATGTAATGTAATGTAATGTATGTATGTATGTATGTAATGTATGTAATGTAATGTAATGTAATGTAATGTAATGTAATGTAATGTAATGTAATGTAATGTAATGTAATGTATGTATGCATCTATGCATGTATGCATGCATGCATGCATGCATGCATGGATGTATGTATGTATGTATGTATGTTCGGAAAAGGATTGCTTTGGCATTCTATGTGCAAAGTTGAGGAGTCAGGTGTATATTCTGTGTTGATGATTGATTTGTTCGTAGCTGGTATTCAATCATTTCAGAGTGACAATAGAACGGTTTATTGGGACAGCTGCTATCACTGTAATTTTTTATCCTACTTGGATTTCCTTGTGAGGCGGACCTGGTGGCTATCTTAGGTACTTCAACATGGCCAGAGAATGCCAGAGAATATCAACAGTTGTGAGAACATCCTAAGTGACCTAACTTAAAACAGGCACCAAAACAGGCGTGATTTCTGGGGTCTCAGAGTGTCCCAGTTCCAAAAAAGGAATCAAACCAGCATAGCAAACCAGCCCAGCCATGAGATCAAGATCCCGGGCTCAAATTCCGCCACCAACTGCCAATGGTCCGGAATCTCTCCTGGCCATGAATGCCTTCTAATGAAGTTGATTTCTACTGCGATATTGCATTGCCCTAATTATACTGTAATTCCGATAAAATTCAATACACATAAACCGGCCTTCCATCAAATGTGGTCATTGCCAACCGTCAAACTAGCCATCCCCTAGACCAATTTTTGGAGATGCGTGGATATGATGATGATTATCATTATCATTCTTAATATTGAATATTGTGTTTTTTGATTTCAGGCGTTGGTGCCCAGTCTTTGACCCATATCCCACCTTTGCTTTGCCATGGCCTGATGAGCCTGACAGCCGCCAGATGTCAAAACTGCGGGTATTGGATCAAATGGAGATTGAAACATCAGTAATCCATTTGGTCTACGTTTGAAAACATTGGAATGAAAGTAAACAGTAAACATCAATAAACCACCAATACGTGGATTCAAACCAAAAAGAATCGTGAGTCTCGAAAGGAGGTACTTGTACACAGAAAACAAGGTGCAGAGATAGACATCAAACATCCCTGGCCGACTTCCAATCGATCCTTTCGGGAGACTTCCCCAGTAGGGGCCCTTCACCCAAATCACCTTTTTGCAGGTCATTTCTGTCAAAGATTTCCCTGGAACATCCTCACAACCGTTTTCCGAAAAGTGCGAATCATGATGTCATGGTATCACAAAAGATGGATTGGTTTAAGGGACAAGTGACGGAAACCACAGAAAATCACAGGACATCAGACATCACAGATTTTTTTCGGGTGTGAAAACCGCCACAGGTCAACGGTCAACCGCTTGGAATTTACGACAGTGGCAAGGCCACCCTTAGCGTGACACTGTTCTCGGGTGACTGTTGGATCATGTTGGATCAGAATGCCCCAATGAAATCTGGTATGAAATCGCATCACTACCTCCCGGTAATTTATCTTGCATGGCAATTGAACATATCCATTTTTGTAGATAGCTTGTCATGGACTGATAGACTTGTCATGTTCTATTGCTATGCTATTTGCGATTCCTGGTATATTTGGAAAATCTTGAATACCCCACAAAAAAAAAAATAAAACAACAAAATAACAACACATCGATAGAACAGGGACATCTTCCTCCACAAAAAGAGCTGAAGACATCTTCCGCCAATCTCCTGGGTCCCGGGAGTCCCGGCCCGTCCCGGCCCGTCCCGGCCTTGCGGATTCCAGTAGCTCCAGCCCCTTTTCCAAGCGTTCCAAGCATTCCACCTGCGATGACATGGATGATATGCAATGACCCATAGCCATGGTATAGACTGGTTAAGCCATGGCCCATAGATGGCTAGATGATTTTCCCAGCTAGATTATTATACCTCCATTTATGGTTGGGATTTTCCATGGCAAAATGTTAGTCATAACCAGATGGTAACTTGTAAACCTCCTCTTTGTGGCTATAATATGCTATAATTTCCACTATAAATCCTAGAATGAGTTGGAGCCCTGACAGGTAGGATTGACAGATATCCCTCACCGTGCCTTTCGCGCATTCCACTGTCACTGTTGTTTTCAAGAACTCATCTCTAAGTCATGTCATGATGAGGTGGAGGGGTCACGTTTACACTCACCACTTATGATTCATGGGATGATCCTCCAAGTAGTTAAGCCAGTTATAGACAATATTACTATCAAACCCAATTAACTATAGCAATCCCCCCATAAACATCCATAAAGAATCATAAATAATGACATGTCCATCCTATTTCCAAATTCTACATGGTCATGGGTCAGAACCCTGCTACCCAAATTGTACCCAAAATCATAGCTGGTTAATGGATGGTTATTCACCCATTCATATGGTAGTATCATAGGTCTTGACCCATCATGCATAATTAACAAGTATTAAGCCCATTTGACACTTATATACATGTTATTAACCCCACTTAGTTGTTTTTTATGATTACCCATATGATTAGCCATAGACTATAGGTGTTAAATATTATTCACCCCACAAAATACCCCTCAAACGACTCGGGGTTTAACGACTCGGGGTTTCACGCCTTCTGAGAGACCTGGACCAAGCGTTGGATTCCCTCGATGCCGCTCTTGTGGGCCACCAAACGCAAGGCCTGCCACGGGGACCGGCTGATCAGCTGCGGGCACTGGATCAGATGAATGGAATATCCATGATATATGATGGGGTTATATATGGTTATATGGGATTATATATGGGATATCAATTATATTGGGTTATCTCATATATATATATATATATTATAGAATCTATATATATATATGGTATATATCATGATATAAAACCATATCCACCCACTGGATTATATGGGATGAAATATGGTATATATATATATACGTGTATATATATATACGTATGTATATATTTATATATACGTATACATATGAAGACATATGAAGTATCAATCACTGGGATGGATACACGTAGCAAGCAGTAGACAGGTTTGCTCCCAACACCCCAGGCCATTTACGGTGCGCTTTCTATTGCTGTGTTTGAATACCAGAGGGTCAACTGGGTAAATATAAAGTAAAATTACTTTACCAATTCGCTCCCAGAAAGTGGCTATTACAAACAATGGGTTGGAGCAAGCCCTGGTAAACTGCGAAAAAAATGGGGCAGTTCACTAGCAATAAAACTGTTTAAGTGACCTACCCAAAGGTGACACCCACAATGATCCATGAGAAATAAGCCTTTCTTAGCGGTTGTTGGTGCTTAGTAAGCCATAAATCCTGAAGATGGGTGGGGTCAGGGGTGGCACCCCGAAAATTGGCAATCGAACAAATTTCTAACCACGACACGGTTCCAGCACCAGCGAATCAAACAATGCTGATTGGACAGGGTATATGATACATGTTGGAGATCTTGTATGGTTTGAGATCATATTTGGGGTAGGTTATGTGAAAACTAACATATAAAGTGGCAGAAAATCGATGAACATTTTATCGTAGCCATCCCATTCACAAACGATGACCGGGGGTCATTAACAAAAAAAACAGTCGTAGAGGTATAGCCAAAAATAAATAACCATTAATTGGGAGTCAGTTTGATGTTGGGTATACCTCTATGACTGGGAAATAAATTCTGGATGGTTTGTGTTATTGGGTTTACCCCATTTTCATAGTCATGATGAATAGCTTGGCAGATCCTAGTGGGAAAGCAACCATCAAGAACCATGCCTGGCTCAGCGTAATATTTAGCACCAGTCAGGCAGGGGACTTGCCTTTATCACGAATAAACCTCAAGGGCCAACTCCAAAAAACATTGTAGTCGCTATAGGGTTACTTGCTTACACTTACGCATATTCGTATCTAGGTACTATGGAAATAGAATCATTCACACATCCCATCATCAAAAAAATATTTTGGGTAATCCCACGTATGTTGATCATAGAATGGGAGTGCTTTATAAGAAAGGCGGATGGGACTACGAACCTATATATATATACTGTTTGGTCAACCCCTCTGAAAAATATGGAAGTCAGTTGGGATGGTGAAATTTCCAATATATGGAAAATGTTCCAAAAAACCAACCAGTATATATCATATATCATATATTCAATACATAAATCGGGATACAGAATTGCAGTCTTCAGAACGTTACTAACAACTTTCTTTTTCGCAACATACCTACCTGTTATTACCAAAACAATAGTAATAGTTAAAATCTGATCAAACCACTTACTAATACATAACTTGCTATGTTGTGCTAATTACAAAGTTATTAACCATAGCAATAGTTGTTAACCACTTACTATCATATTTACCCTGCTACTGTTTTGTTGACTAGCAATTGTTGATAACTTACTGTAACACTTGCTATATGATATGGGTGTATATCAGCTAAAAAAATATTAGTTTGACTTGCTAAAAGTGACTAATTAGTAATTAGTAAGTTGACTTGCATGATTTGACATTGGTAGGGTTTGATATGGTACCCACTATTAGCTATTAGTAAGCTGATTGACTATTAGTTACTAAGTACTAAGTTATTTGGTTAACTTGATAAAGGAACTATTAGTTACCAAGTCATTGACCACTTACTATGGGTTTATAATCCATGCTCCGCTTACGCCTCCAAGGCATCCTGCACTTCTTGCGCCTCCTCTGGCCTTACGACACCCACAGGCGCGTGGCGATGTTCAAATGTGGCGATGTAAGGAATAATAAATGACGTGTTATAGGATCAAATAACCATAATTTACTTGGGATTCTAAACCCTACATTCAGATTTGTTGCGTAAGTATATAACAATGCGACTTATCAAATTGTTGAACAAATTCCTATGTTCAACAAGTTCCAGCCAGATTTACACAAACATCTACTGTGTTACATAATTATGTGTATATATATATATACATTATGTATATATTTATACATAGCCATATTAGATCATATTACGCCATACGCACATTCCAAAAACTGCTGGTACCTTGTACTTGTTGGAGAAACAAAAAACCGGATTTTGTAAAAACTCGCTATTGGTCACAAAACACCCTGGTACCCTGTTGATCATGTTAGATCCATCTCCATATTCAGGACATGGAGGTTTCCTAAGTCATGGGGGTGCCCCGAAAAATCATCCATTTTCCTGGAGGACTTTCCATAATAAGCATTAACAAACCATCTAACTATTGGGGTATCCACATGACTTAGGAAAACCCTACGTATTCGTCTTGGTATTTTTCACGGAATAGATACGGTGTCTACGTCAATACATGTATCACGATGGCAGCAGCACGCGGCGATAAACGTGCTTCGTGAATTTTGAAGCCGTTCCAATCGGACTTCACATCGATTTACCTACAAACATCAAACTAAATCATCAAAATAATCAGGTTCAGTGGGGCACTTCAGGGTTTCGAAGGGGGCATGTCCCATTGGTTTGCAAATCATGATTATGATGTTGCTTCTGATGATGATAATGATGGTGATGGTGATGTTGTTGTTGCTGCTGCTGATGATGATGATGGCCGTTACTATGACTCATAACAACGAAGATTTTGTTTGTGGAACACGCATCTTGAAACACCCGACCAACAGGGCACGGGACTGCGATCTCAGATGTTTCATGCCACGAACACAATATGTGACTGGGGTATATCGGTAGATCCCACACATCACTGGCATATTTCATTTGGTTTTCATTCACATCGAAACTGGAAATCCACAACCCAAGTCATATCACATTGTTGGTTTTATAATAATATCAATATTTCATAAATAACGAAAAATGATATCCGATTCTATCCCAGATCTCATGGATTTTTTCCCCATGGCGCTGTTCCCCCGTTGATCTCTACGTTGAAAAACTCGCGGAGCTCAGGCTCCCGACGTGGCCGGACCCGTTGCCGGACCCGTTGCCGGCTCGAAGGGTTCTGGACAGGAGATGGATCCCAATAGCTGGGTGGTTTCCATGGAAAATCCAAAGAAAAACTGGGAAATAATGTATGGGATATATGCGATAATATGGTTAAGAATCGATATATTGTCCATAATTATTATCCATGGTGTATGGTTATTAATATCTGGTTCGTGGTTGGCCTACTCCTCTGAAAAATATGAATCAGTTGGGATGATGAAATTCCCAAATTGATGGGAAAAACAAAATTCATGTTCCAAACCACCAACCAGAAAAATGGATGACAACTAGGGGTGTTTGACCCCATGACAAAACGGAAACCTGTGAAGATGTCCAATGATGGTTGCCTGTTGTCAGTATCGATGAAGTGGCCAGCATTAAACACTGCCTGCAACCGCTGGATCCATTCTGGTCGACTATCCGGAAGTAAGGGTATATCCGGCAGATCTGGTGAGGTCACAGCGGCATGAATGAAGGTCGGTTGCTCCGGACGTTGAAAGACCTGGCCATGGATCGCTTGCTGCAATGTCCTACGAAGCAGTGCATTTTCCAATGTAAGTACATGTGGTATATCAAGGAGGATCCCTCTACTAATGACCAGCCTGAAGGCATAGCCTGATTGAACATTGACAATCTGATGTTGTCTGACAGGGACACTACCGAACCACAGGCTGCAGTGGTTTTGCATACTGCTAGGCGGACAATCAAGCTGAAACTGCAAGGCCAATAGCACATCATCAAGCTGGATGCGTTCCGGCCAAACCAGGGCACATGTATAAGGGTTGCGTTCAGCATCGACGTCTGAATCATACACTGAAAGCAAGACAGAACGCAATGCTGGCAATGGTTTCTGTGTGACCAAAACCTGCGCAACAATACCAACTGCCGCATCTTCGGATTCAGGGTAGATGATTGCAAAGGTAATTTCACCATCAGTGGCAGATGAGGATGACGATGGCGGATTCGGCGGATTCGGAGGTGGTTGTTGCGCATGAACCACCTGCTGCCATTGGGTCGCAATTGACCCAGCAGGCGCCTGCCAGCAGAACGCGTTTTGCATTTCGTTCAACAGAACGCGTTGGGTGAGCAAAAAGCCCTTGAGCCAAAATGGCTACGGAGAGGCCTTAATACATTCAAAAAACAAGCACATGTCCAGCAGATCGTGTGAATGCTGATTGCAGATCGCGTGAATGCTGATTGACCACTTTTCTACAAATACAATACCTGAATGAAAATGTTTTGTAGCTACACCCAATATCTCCAATTGAAGTTTATTAGGAACACCCCTTATGTATGTAGACATGATCACCAAATGGTTGGTTACATAGGAAAGTCTATGGCAACCGCATGTCAGAGAGTTTCTTTATTCCCCAGAATTAGCTGAAGGACAAAGTACAGGAAATATCACATTTGATGGGAGTTCATTGATTTCATGGGCAAATCCAATGTTTTTTTGTAGGATCAATTGTTGGTTTTATTCATGCGAACATGTTATTTTCCATCAAACAAACTGAAGTTCTTCGCAGAAATCATCTGTCTTTCCCAGCGTTTTCGATGCCCGTCCTCCCGTTTTCACTTTCTCCACGCTTCCGGGTGCACTCTCCGTAGCATCCTCCAGGGATTCACCTTGGATGATTGTGCAAGGAGGGGCCCAAGTCCCTCAGATCAGAAAAATGGTGAAAAAAACTAGGCGCAAGTGTAAGTCAGCATAATAAAAACTACACTTGAGAGGAGAAAATCTTGCTGGTGCTAAACGCAGGGAATGAGGAAATGATCCATAATCACTGGTAATAATCATCCCATTCCCCCATTCCCATCCTGACTCTAACCGAGGGGTACCAACGTGTAAAGCACCCTCAGACTATCTGTTGGCACGGGGCCAAGGCAATGCGTAGTGGAAGCGAATCTAAATCGTCGAACCAAATGGGCCATGGTGAAACCACTGCAAGGTGCTGCCATGATAAGTATAAGTTGGTTAAACAAACCTAACTATAGATATACCATAAATCCCAGTTAAGTTCCTTATAAACCAACTTGATTAAGTAGGGGGGCACCATCTTCTAAGTAATTGTTCAAAATTGCCATTACATCCATTTACTGGAGTCATAATGATATCTCATGATATTATCCCCATGAAATCCCGAATTTTTTTGGCTTCCGGAGGGGGAAATCAGATCACACTGAGGCCGCTGCTTCCGCTGTTTTGCAGCGGCACGAAACGCCAGGAGTTCAGGGTCGACACCTCGGTACGCACCGGAGGTGCTGAGTTGACGGGAACCTATCTATATACATCTATATACTCCAAAATAGGTCTACACTAAGAGGTAAATCATGTCTTTTTTGTCATGTAAGTCACAACATTGCAAGGTAATCATCTTCAATAGGGAGATCATCATTTTTTAAGGGGTAAATCAGCATTATAAGTACCTATATTATATTATAAGCAATATGCGAACCATGGTGCTGGAATATTTACCAACATTTGCCCGAACAAAATCACCCAGTTATGTAGGTAAATATACCAGCTCCATGGAGTATATGGGCTAGTCTAGCTTAGATTTGGTAACCCCCTAATGAAACAGCCTAGAGGACTCATTATGACTTTGTTGAAGGCAACTTCAGCTAGTGCTTGCAGAATTCCTGACAAATAGTTCTGGTATGTGATGGTTGATCAAAATTACCATGTATGATCGATCATCATGTGATGGTTACATTTCAACTCCTTACAAGGACGTTTAGATCGATTACCATGTAACATTTAGTAAAGGTATATATGTACGATAGGTGTCACACAAAAAACCGTGTAATCTTTTGATCTCAAGGTGGCCCTTGTGGTCAGATTGTGACCCCTCGAACCGTCGGGCACGGAGTGCCCCACGGGAATGGGACCGAAAAATTGGGTTTCGATGCCCCAAAGTGGCTTGTGAAATGCAGAAGATGATGATAAACCATGATAAACCATGAAGTTTCGACCCGATTTTCAGCCAATCTAAGATGATACAGGTCACAATTCCAACAACTGGACTGGAATTATCAACCAGTGAACTTCCCATTTGTGAAGACATGGCCAAGGTGGTGCCTCCCAGGTGTAAGTTGGTTTATTAACAAAGCTAGATATAGATATCGCCCGCGAATCAACAGTTGTCCTACTTCTCTGGGTATCTTATAGTAATTCAGCAACCTGACCTAAAATAAGGTGATTTTGGGATGATTCGGGAGAACAGGGTTCGGTCGTTATAATTTCTTCAGATATATCCCCGTAAAACAACAGTTGTCCTACCTTCACAAAGCTACCGAACAAGCTGCGGCGCCACACGCAGCATGCGCCGAGGCCGGGACCAACTGAACTAGGTCCGTCTCTCCAATCATGGCAACAAAGTCCTGGACACCAGGGGACTTTCTTACTGGATTGGTCTATGGAGGTTTCCTAAGTGGGGTTCACCCCCCTTGCATCATCCAGTCGTCATGGATGACCATGACTTAGTATAGGTTAACCCATGGTGACGACTGGGGATCCCTCATTTTAATAACCCCCCTGGACGACGCGTTTTTGAACGGAGATGTGATGGAGATTTTTCATGAGAGATGGCCATTCCGGGGGGGTCACCCACTTCAGACACCGAGATGATGTCATTTCTCTAAATGGGGGTGCACCAATTACATATGATCTATAGAGTCTATATGGCAATGATGATCTTTTTTCACATGGGGGACCCCTTTTAACCATCTACAGAAGTGGTTATATTTAGGTGTGAGACATATTTAGGTGTGAGACCTCTTTAGGATTGGCTTAAGGTTGGTTTCGGGCTGATTTTTGAAGGAAACCATTGATTTAGGGTACACGATCTCTAAGGAACATTTTGGAATGGATTTACCCGGCCCTGAGGATGCAGTAACCACTGTCTGAATAACTCCAGCGATAAGATCAGAAAAAGAAAAGCTCAATAGATTCTTTAACAACAATACAGCCAAAAAATCTTACACTCTTTAAGTCCTATCATATGTTTTGAAATATCATCATATGGAAAACAACATCACTTTTTTCAGCATGGATTATGATTGACATCTACAATCAAACAAACAATATCAAACATCACAAACACATCATATCTCCATATCTTTCAACTTCGCTAAAACATATCTCCTCCAGAGAGCCACATTGCCGTGAGAGCTCTGTCAGGAAAGCGCCCACCTTCGTACGGCGACCATAAGAATGCTCCATAAGAATCCATAAGATGAAATCTTCGGCATATTTTATCATTTTTATGGATTGGTTTTCATAAGAATCCATATTTTTCTAGACATCCACCGTTTATATATAGACTGCTTGGTGGTTTCAATCCCTCTGAAAAATATGCTCGTCAGTTGGGATGATGACATTCCCAACTGAATGGAAAAAATAAGAATGTTCCAAACCACCAACCAGAAATTGTATTTTTCCCATAGGATCCATAAGAAATGGACATATGTGGGATGAACATATGAAAAAAATGAAAAAAAACATTTGATATCTGGATATTTGATTATCTAGATTGAGATACCAAAACAGGGATATTTCGTAAAATGGATTTCAAGAATATCCCATAAGAAAAAATGTTTTATGAATGGATATCTATGAAAAAGGCCCATTCATAGAGGATATATATAATTAATTATATATATATATATATCATGAATAATATTGTATAAACATATATAATTTACCGTAATCAAAGATCTTGATTTTCGATAGCTATGTCAGCTATTGATAGCAAAAAATCCCTGGAGTCTCAAGTAGCCATAAAAATGGCAGCCCATAATTTAAGCATACCGTAATACATACTTTTACTATGTTCAAAGGGTGGTATTTGGAGGGTCGAGGGTAAGAAAAAATAATTCCTATAAATCTACAAACCATATGTATGTCAATATAATTCAGGCATTTTTAAGCTATAAAATGGGATAGTTACCCACTACCCGTTATGCAGACCACGAACTCTAGCTTGGTCAGTTAAGGTCACTATTAAAAGTACCCAGGATCCAGGCAGGATTCAGCAAAAGTGACCAGGATCTTGACCCAAAGTGCAGTCTGCAACTGCTCAGAATTACCCCCAAAACCCCGTTTGGGAAGTTTTCGAAAAATGGCAACCCAAAGGTGTTCGAATGACCGATGCTAGCATCGTGTGCGACTAGGCACTCCCAAGAATCAACTTAAGTGGCTTGATCACTTATTATCCGCCATATTGGATTGGCGAACACGGATTCCCCCCTCCAAAAAAAATAATTGTTTGGAATTCTGGTGCCCAAAGACCTTTGGAAAACTCTCAGTTGTGGATCTCTAAGCTGATCTTCTTTTCAACTTTCAACACCTGAAATCTACGATTCACTCCCAAAAGACAACATATCCAATAAGAACACAATCTTAAGTGGTTTACTTGAACCCTATTTTTGCCGGTGAAATTCAAACATCGGATACGTTTAAGGTTTGAGTAGTGGTGAAATGGCAAATAGATTCTCCATATGTTTCCATACTAATTTGTTTAAAATAAGCCATATTGCTAGTTTTTAAAAAAAAGATTACTAGTGACTACTAGGTGGCTGTCTCCCTGTTTGTTTTTTTCCTGAGAATGGTCCATGTCGTTTCGCAAAGATCATGAAAGGTCCTCATACTGAGTTCGTTTGGTCAAGAAACTATAGTCTTTATAGTTGCCATTGGACCCCACGGCCTTTAGACGGCATGTATAACGTTCATGTGAACTTGAAATGAAGCAGATCTACGCTGTGACTGTCGGTTGCGGCATGTAATTCATGGCTGGGGGGGGGGGGGGGGGGGGGGGGGGGGGTGGAGTGGGGTGGGATAATAAATAAAGTCACTGGATCTCTCACCCATACGTCATGCTACGCTATTGTGCGTTCTCTTCGACTTCCACGCATACGTCATGCTACGCTACTGGACGTTAGGGCTTCCACGCATACGTCATGCTACGCTACTGGACGTTCTCTTGGACTTCCACGCATACGTCATGCTACGCTACTGGACGTTGTTTTGGACTTCCACGCGTACGTCATGCTACGCTACTGGACGTTCTCTTGGACTTCCACGCATACGTCATGCTACGCTACTGGAAGTTGTCTTGGACTTCCACACATACGTCATGCTACAATACTGGACGTTGTCTTGGACGTACGCTACTGAACGTTCTCTTGGACTTCCACGCGTACGTCATGCTACGCTACTGTACGTTCTCTTGGACTTCCACGCAAATGTCATGCTATAGGTTAATTTGGTGGTAAGTAGCTGTCAATTTGCAAAGAGTAGCTGTCAGCAGCAGGGAACACTTGAGGTTCTACCACTGTGTTTACCACCCCGCTCAGTCAGAAGAATGGGCATCAGGGGAGCTTCAGATCCTCACACCATGTTCATCCACCCACTCAGCCAGAAGAATGGGACAGTTGGTCCAAATTGAAGTTGCCTTGCTAATTTACTAGGTGGAGCAGTGCATAGCCTGGAGCTGTGAGCAATTTGAACCCAGACAGGAAAAAATGCACAAATACTGCGTGCAATCTGCTTTGCGGATTCACGTTGCGCTAGAAGGGAAAAAAACTATATTTCATAAAGGGATCCGTTTTCTAGTTCTCTAACGAATAATGGTTTTGTACTAGAACTATTCAACATGTCCTACCTGTTATTTTCACAAAGGGATTATAAACCTTCCACATTAGTTTGTGTTGGGGAAATAGTTGACTACTTGGCAGACCAACGTGCGGTTTCAAACAAATGGCGCATGATTCAAATTTAACCATACATGTCTTCGAAATTCTGTCTCTGGAAACCCTGGAAACGACCATTTACTTTGGTGGGCGCAGTGGAATTAACTAGCCTGAGCATTGTGGTGCTGCGGTGCAATGTGACAAATCGTTTTTTCAAATACAAGATGTCTCGATACAATGCTTTTTTTGGGCACACAAAATAGTTTCCAACATCATCAGGACAACAGGGGTGCATGGTAGAAAACTTTTGTATTGGTGTTGGATCAGGGCTGAAATTTGTTCAGCAAAGCCGGGTGCAGCATCAGAACTGGAAAAGGGCCCCGTGAGACCTTGGCTCAATGACAATGGCGGCTGGGAAGGTGCAAGGGGGGTTAAAACGCCGGTCCTTGCTGGATTCCGATTCAGAGGAGCGGTGGTTCTCAAGATGTTTTTTTTCATTTTCGGGCAATAAGCTTTGGGCACGTCGTTTGGGAAAACCTTACGCGTTTTTGTGTGGCAGGAGGTGGCGAAGTTGTACCAAGATGAAGGGGACGAACAGGATTCTTTAGAAGCCGTGGGTGGACCTCTGGTGGTTTAGCAAATTTTCTTTTTGACCTAGTAACCCAAATTTTCCATGGATTTTTTAAACGGGCACTGACAATATGTATGTGTATATATATGTATATATGTTTTATTTAACAATAAGAGTACATAAACAAACAAATATATATATAGATATCTATATATATATACTGAATATGTAGATGTTTGTGTATACATGTATATATAAATGTAAATGTGAATATATGTATCTATATACATGTATAGTATAATATTCATATATATATAAGAATGTATACAAATATATGTATATTTATATGATATACGCTTGGCTTCAAGTAGGCCCCAGTTTTGGCACAAAAAAGGCCAGAAGAGACGAAGGCGTGCTCCTCGGGGCGATTATGATGATGATGGTGATCCGGCGCCGCTGGGATTGGTGCAGTCTATGGGACCTCCGTGCTTCGACCTGTTCAGTATTTTTTGTGCCCAAGGTTTTTGAACATTCACTGCTGTTTGAACATGGGGTTGCATTTATAGATTGGAATGCCGAACAAAAATTGAGTCGAACATGTGGTATTGGGGTATATAATCATACTACTGCAGCTGCTCACTTTGGGGTTCAATTTAAGACTTGAGAAATAATTAGAGGTGGTACCATGTGGATCTAGTGTCTTCACAGAGTATGTTTTTTTCTGACATAGACCAGAAGCACTGAAGGCTGGCCAGTCCTTCAAAGTATGAGCAATTGTGGAACTGGGCCACCTGCTTGATCATCCGCTTTGAGTTTCTAAAGCTGGGTTGGCAACGTTTCCTCTGTGGTTGCAACCCCATGCTTGCCCACAAAATTCAGTTTGTAGTTCTTTGGCAGGCAAGAACATCCCATCCTGTATCAGGTTGCTGTTTGGGGCCGACTACGTGTGTGCAGCCTTGAAGTCTCAGCACATTCGGTTGGACTCCTGGTTCACTGGTTGTGACTTCACATCGTTTGCGATGAACCAGTTGGCTACAGCTATCCGGCGAAGGCATCTTGCTGCACAGATTGCTTTCTCCCCACCTGCTAAGTGAGTCTCTAGATTTTA